CCGATTTCAACAAGCTTATACTCAAACTGGTCGGTTCGATGAGACTGCCGAACGATATCAAAATTAGTCCAATCTGAGTCAAATCAAGCTCAGATCAATACATTAAACCAATTTAGGAAGATTTCCAGACACATTTGGAAAATCAAATGGATGTTAAATCTGACTATTCATAAACGAATCGAGCATCTTAGCAAGTCGAATCCAACGAGCCCAAGATTGCTCGATTCTGACATCGTTAAGACACTCTAATGTCCATCAAACACCCTCTGATTGAATGAAACTTTTCGGACAATTCGATCAATATAGTTCATATTCTTGTATTAATCGCACCCAAAACACTATAAATAGAGCCACCCCTCTCATGAGGGGGTGGGAGTTGTTATGAAATTTAGGAGGAAGAAAAAAAACAGGAATAGACACAAATCCAGAAGAAGAACGCAGAGATTTACGAGGTTCGGCAAAGATGCCTACATCCTCGGGAGCGAGCGACAAGTTTCACTATTTCAGAGGGGGAGTTCAAATTACATACCCATGAGTTACACATATATATAGACATATAAGAAACCCATAGATAAATTACTAACACGCCCTCGCTCCTCCCAACCCACAAAATATGAAGAGACAGAACTCTTCACCAAGAGACGCACTTCTTTACCAAGAGACACACCTCTTCACTTCAAAAAACTCCAACTTCCGGTATATGAGCCATACCTAACATTTCTCCACCTCGGCGAATATCCAGCACCATAGGAGATATGCATCACCTGGTATATGTGCCAACCAAACAAATCTCCACCTTAGTGAATATTCAGCCCCTTTAGAAAAAAATACTTCATGGAGTTTTTTACACCGTAGTGGGTTGGACAACCATGCCAACTAGCAACTGCTAACATTCAACAAGTTCAAGTCATTCAAGAACTTGTTGAGAATACGTGGCTTGGTCAACATACTTGCTGCATTTTCATCATATGATCCGACAGAGTGCATTCCACCTACAATTGTACTCCCCAACAGTTTATAGATATTATCTTCAGGTTTCATAGTCCGCAATGCCTTCAAAAAAAAAAAAAAATCCTTGTGCCAAAAAATCTTTCACACTTGTTTGCAACAATCTGAAGTTTCCTGTTCCGCCGAACTTAACCATCTCGAATTTTGTACCAGACATTGTCATTCGAATTTAATTTTGCAGCGAATTTTAGTGGCCTTGTATGGAAACAAAACACACACTACAATTAAATTCAAATAAACCTGAAATTTCTTCTGTCAATTTGCAGCAATTTCCCGCAGTTTCCAGTGATTCGTGAATCAAAAT